GGGGGCGCGGCGGGGGGGGGGCGCCCCCCCCCCCCCCCCCCCCCCCCCCTCCAGCCTTGAAAGAGAGGCACAGAGCTGCCCGTAGCACACAGAGCCCCTGTCCCATCTCATCCACCCTCCATCCAGCTCTGGAGGGGATGCTGGAGGGGCAGGGGGATGCTAAGGAGGGGGACCAGCAGCCCTGGCCCAGGAGATGCTGCCAGCAAAGGGTGTTAAGCCCCTGCAGAAATTTCCTCTGCAATACAGATTTTTTCAGAATGGCATTAGAGCTGTGAAGGAATTACCGAGGAAAGGCCATGGGGGGAAGCGGGGAGGGGGGGAGTGCTTGGCAGCTCCATCGCGGGGCTTAACTCACTGTAACGTGATCCTAGGATTCCTGTTTCAGCAAAACCGGGTCCCCAGCGGAAGGCATCGCTGTTTAATCCAGCTGAAACGAAGCCTTTGCAATTAGCCGGCTGGTTTGGCAAACTCTTGCGGTGATTCAGCAGCTGGCTGGAAGGTGGCACTTCTCCCGCCATGCTCCTCTGGGTGGTTATCTGTAAATACTGTGATTTCTTCCTCGCTGCTGAGGATGTTTCTTTCGTCTCTTGTTTGGCCCGTTAGAAAATGGGCTTGCGGTTCCTCCATGGAGTATTATTTTTCAGATAGCCTTGCTAGCACTGTAAAAAACCTTTCTGGGCCAGGTTTCCAAGTCCTGCAGAGCCTTGGCTCCGAGGACACAGTCCTCCAAGCGAGGGCTCTCCAGCTCCATCCTCCTGCGGGATGGAGGGAGCAGGTCTGGGGTGAGGTCCCGGGGCAGGGGGAAGGCGTCAGCCCCACGCAGGTCCTGCGGCGGTGGTGGTGAGCTGCGTTGTGGCTGCTTGAAGCACGCCGGGCATGCATGCTCGTTCCAGCAAGGGTGGTGGGCTGGGGTTGGACATGAGCATGGGACAGAGGATGGTCCCTAACTGGTGACGGAGGTTACAGGTACCTGCCTGGCCCAGAGGCTTTGGGGAAGCTGTTGGTTTAGAGATGAGCGTGGTTCTTCTTCTGTTCTCAGTTGATGGAGATTGTTTCTCCTCCAGCTTTGCAAGAGCCCCGTGTGTTCCCCCACCCTCAGGGCAAGGAAAGGAAGGAGCTCTCTGGACCCCAAGGGCACAGTCCCATGCCCAGGATGGGCGCCTTTGGTCCAGGCTCCTGTGTATCCCACAACCTGAAAGCTGCAGCCATGCTAATTAAGTTGATTGAATCTGCGGCCCCTCAGCAGCCTTTTTTTTTGGGGGGGAAGGTGGTGTCGGCCGCAGAAAGCAGTTGCGCTGCCCCAGCCCAACCTGCCTCCCCTTGCCCTGCGCTTTGCCTTCGGGCTTATGCTTGTTGCGGCCGGGGGCTTGGCTGCTGAGGGTGTGCACGACGTCCCTGCTTCTGCCTTCCCTGGTATTTTCGGAGGGGCAGGGGCTGGGCCAGGAGGGGATAAAGGCAGCAGCTCCCTCCTGCTCAACCCGGTGCCCTCCTGGGAGGGGTGAAGCTGGGTCTGGGTGCCTTGCGGGAAGGAGGGGGGGGTCAGCCTTGTCCCCCTTCAGCCGACCCCTCTGCTTTCTTGCAGCTCACCCTACAGAGCACCAAGTCCCGTGTGGCCTTCTTCGAGGAGCTCTAGGAAGCGACCAGCCGCTCCGCACCGCTGCTGCCTGCCGGCCGGCTCCCCCACAAGCCAGAATCTCTCCCCTAAGACCGGCGTACCCCAACCGGGGCCGGGGAGCTGGGCATCGCCCCCCCAGTCCCCGCTGGGTGCTACCAGCCTCTGCACGCCGATGGACTCGGGGCTCGGCCGCCCACAGACTGTGTGATGTTTTCTAGCTTAGTGTCCATTTATCCTCCTCCGTGTCTCTCTTTTTACCTTTTTTCCCCCACCCAGCCTTTTTGTTATTTTTCTAGCATAGATTTTTGGCTCAGCCCTCCAGGCTTTCCCCCTGGTGCTGGGGTCAGGGCTGCGGCCGTGCCCCCCAGCCTGGCAGCCGGTGGAGGAGCGTGCCGAAGGGTCTCCCTTGGCGAGGATGCCATCCCTCCGGGCTGCCTTCTTCTGCCGGCAGCGGCTGTGCCAGCCCTGGAGCCCCGTGCCGGTGGTGCCTGGAGCTCCATTAGGAACACAGAGCATGTTCTAGTAGAGTGCTGTAAATCAGGGGCCGTCGCGCCGGCTCTCCCAGCGCCCAGCAGAGGTGGGAGGCAGGCGGGCAGGGAGCAGGATTAGAGCAGCTGCAGGGACCTCGGTCTATGGGGATTAGGGCTACTGCTTCTCTGGGGAGAGGAGGCAGAGGCAGGAGGTGGGGAGGAAGGTCTCCTCCTCCTCCTCCTCCTTCTCTCTGCAAGGGATAAGGAGCAGGAGAACAGCTAGTGCCAGCCAAATGAAACCTTTTTTTTCCTGCAAACTGTGACAAACCTGAGCAGCTTGAGGCCAGGGGGTCTCTGGGGACTCAGGGCCAGGCTTTTGCTGGGTGCTCAGCTCCAGCACCCTGTAACGCGGTATGCGGCCCCCCCCCAGCTCCTCTGAGCCTCCCCGGGCTGAGCTGGGGGGGCTGCCTGTGTCCTGGCAGGGGAACACTGGGGCTGCCTGCTCCTGCCTGTCCCTAAGCAGGTGCCTTTACTCACAGCTCTGACCCCCCAGCAGCGGCCACGGGGAGAACGGGGATGCCCTGACCTTTCCTTTGTGTCTCCGTCCCAAATCCTGCCCTCTGTTCAATGGGGGGAAACCTCCCTTCCAGCTGCAATTTACCCTTTCACGGAGCTGGTGCTGCCCCCGGCATCCCCCGCATCCCCTTGGGACCCCCAATTCCTCCATCCCACAACCTTACCTGACCTACAGCCACACCGGAGTCAGCCGGAGGGTCAGCCCCGGGGCTTGGCATGTAGTAGATCGCATCCTGAACCCTTTTTATTTAAAACCGCGCTGCCTCGGATCAACTCCCCGCACGTGGCTGCGATTCGAATGGCTGTGGCCTGGCACAGCCGCTTTCCCATTCCCCTGGACTGTTGTACTCGGAAGAAATAACGTTTTTCTCCTTTGTTTTAATAAAAATTCAAAGCACTAGGAGGGGGAGCTGGGACTTGTTTGGTCTTTCTTCTTTGGGAAAAACGTTGCGAAGCCCTTCGCTGCCGCAGTTAACGGCAGGAGGAGGTTTTAATGGAAAGCACGGCTGCGGCTCTGGGATCCCTCCGGCAGCTCCCTGCGGGGCCGGGATGGCTCCCCCCTCCTCATCGCTCCGGGCGTCCCACTGTCCCCGGTCCTTCGGGACCCTCCATCCCCTCTTGCAGCAGGGTGCCCTTCTCCCTCCCAGGGTTTGGGGTGCCCTGGGGGGGGCGGGTGAGCCCCGTGTTTGCCGTCCCTGGGGCTCTGCCTGACGCTGCCTGATCTCAGCCTGCCTGGAATAAATAAACGATACGCTGCATTGACCTCAATTTTTTAATTAATTACAGATAAAACCCTGTTGGTGACACGGGGACTCAGCTGAGCTGCTGGCCCCGAGTCGGGGCTGCCGGTGTGGCTTCACCAAACCACCGTCTGTGCCAAACACTTGGGCAAGACCTGACCCCGGGGGGACTGCTCCCGGCCCCCCCGGCCCCGCTGCGACTTGATGCACTCAGTGATGGATGCACTTGTTCATCTTCTCACCGGCAGCAAAACCCCGGGAGATTAAACGGAGCTTGTGGCAAGGGCTCTGGTCCCCTCCGAGAATTGTGGTGGGCTGGGGGGGGATGTGGGTATTTTTTCCTTTTTTTTGTTGTTTTAAGCAGGGCTGATGGAGGTGGGATAGGGGTTTTTTTTGGGAAAGGGGTGCTGATGTGGAATCTGGGGAGATTCAGGGGCTGCTGGGAGGCGGTGGGCGAGGGAAGCGGAGGGTGACCTGATTTCCCACGTGTGGGACAGGAGGGCTGCCCACAGCCACCGGTGTCAGCCATGCAGCTGGTGCGCTGCCTGCGGGGAATGGGCAGAGCCCCCGGCTGGGGGATTTGGCCCCAAATTGAAGCCGAAAGGGCTTTTCCCAGCCCAGGCCGTGATGCTGGGGCCGGCACAGCAGCGCAGGGGGATGCACTGGGTGCTGGGTCTGGTGCAGGGGGGGTGTCTCCTTGTCCCCTCCAACGTGGGGGTTCCCCCGGTCGCTCACAGGGGCCATGCACACCGGGAGCCCTGCACGCTCACAGCATTGCGCACTTGCAGCCTTGCACACTTGCAGCAGCATCGCACGTTCATGGCGTGGCGCACCTGCAGCCTTGTGTGCGTACAGGATTGCATGCTCACAGCATTGCAAGCCTGCAAACCCACGTGCTCACGGCCTTGCACACTTGCAGCCTCGTGTGCGCACAGGGTTGCATGATTCCAGCCTTGCGCCGTCCCAACATTGCATGCTTACAGCGTTGCACGCTTGCAGCACTGCATGGCTGCAGCCTTGCACACTTGCAGCCTCCCACGCTCCCAGCTTTGCATGCTCAGGGCCTCACACGCTCACAGCCTCACAGTCGCAGCATTGCACACATGCAGCCTCGCACACCGGCAGCTTTGCACGCTTGCAGCCCCACAGCTTTCCCCACTGGCAGCATTGCACACGCGCAGCCCCCCCTGTGCTGCAGCGGGCAGCCTCATGCCAACTCCTTGCCTGCCCTCCTGTGCTGCAGGCTGGGCCATTTCTCCTCTTTCAAAGGAAATTTCATTCTGATTTTTTTCCTTTTTAGCAAAATTAAATTCATCAGAGCTGAGGTGGTGGCAGAGGGGGTGTGGGTTGGTTGGAGATGACTTTGCCCAAGGAAAAAAGAACCATCAAACAGTATTTCCCATGTACCCCTCCCAGCCCCTTCCTCCTGCCACAGATTCCTCGGGAAGGAAATTGGGGTTTTTTTGCTAACCCAAGGCAGCAACTGAGCATTTCAGCGGTGGTTCTCCATGCACTTTAATGGTGGTGGTGGCTTTGGCGCAGGCTTGGGGACGATTTCTTGCTTGCCTGAGCATCCGTGTCCCCAAACCCTGACTTGCAACAGGGAGCCAGGGCAGGAGCGGGGACTGATGGGGAAACTGAGGCAGGGACGGCACCGGCGAGGCCATACGGCACCAGAGGCTGCCGACCGGTATGCCAGCCTCGTCCCACGGTGCCGGAGGCCAGGCAGCACCCAAGGCCTCCCCCCCTCACCCCCATAAATCATGGGCTGCCACCCCAGCTGCCCCCCCCCCTGCACCCTGGGGTGCTGCCCCAGCGTTGGGTGCCTCAGGTGGGTGAGGGAAGGAGCAGGGAGCAGGGGTCAACGGGGAGAGAAGGGGACACTGGCAAACCCCCGGGAAGGGCTGGGGCCAGCTGCAGGGGCTTGGGGTGCTTCTGCATGTGTGGGGAGCGCGTGGGCACGAGGGAAGTGCATTTGCACGAGGGTTGCTTTTGCGTTAAGGGTCTGCGCACGCAGGGGAAGAGAATTTGCACGCAGGGTGTGCATTTGCACAAGGGAAGGGCACCTGTGTGTGCCCAGGGAGGTGTTATTTGCACGGGGAGGCGAAGCAGGGAAGTGCACCCGCGCACCCCAGCCGTGTCGGGGTGCAGTGGGCACCCTGGCACGCAGGACGGGTGCTCGGAGCCAGCACGCAGGCGTTAGTCAGCACCGGGCCGGCTCTGACTCACTGCTTAATGGATGCAGGTTGGCACGGCACGGCACGGCACGGCACGGCACGGCAGGCACCTGGCCACAGGCCACCATGGGTGCAGGCTGGAGCTGGGGGGACCAGGGCACCCCAGGGCTGCTGGTTACTCTGTGGGGTCGCCCTCTGCCCACCGGCAACAGGACCCAGCACAGGGTGGGAGTTAGGGGAGCAGCCCATGGGACACCACATCCCTGGTTTTGGGCACCCTGGGGAGCTTGGGGCACCCATGGCTGCTCAGCTCCCACATGGTTTGGGGCTGGGTTGCAGGATGACAACGTAAAAAGCTGCTCCCCAAGGGGCAAAGCCAGCCAGGGTCCTGCTCTTTGGGGACAGCATCTTGCGGACATGGGGACCTTATGTCTTCCTTCACTGGTGGCTACCAGCCCTCTGCCATCCTGGCCGTCCTCATCCATCCTCATCCATCACCGCTGGCATGGACCGATGGCTGGCACAGGGCTGCTGTCTGTGTCCCTTCACCTTTTCCTCTTCCCAGCCCCTGGTCCTCCAGGGAGAAAAAGGGGAAAGAAATTGAAATGAGGAGGGACAGCGGAGGGGAGAGGCAGCCTCACCGGGGGGATGGCACCTGGAGACCTCCCTGCTCCCGGCAGAGACCTGCCGAGCTCGGTGCATCCCCCCCCTGCCCTGACACCTCCCCTGGAGCAGCCGCCACAAAGCTGTAATTAAAAGCCTGACGTGTGTCTTGTCGGCTTAATTAGGGGCTTAACAGGATAAGAAGGAGGATTGCCCGTGGGGAAGCCACAGCTCCAGAGCTGAAACCTCTGGCTGGTACCAGAGTTGCCCACTCAGCCACCAAGGGAAGAGCACCAGGGACGGGATAATATATGGATGCTGTAAAATAAAAAGCACATGGAGCTGCTCCAGCCACCACAGTTTCCCTGCAAGAGGAGGATGAATCGCTGGAGGATGCTCGGGCCGAGCGAGGGGGATGTTGGGCGAGGTGTGATGGGGTGCAGGACCACGCAGTGGGCTGTGGGATCATGGTAGGGTGCAGGACCCTGTGATGGGGTGCAAGACCACACCATGGGGTGAGGGACCACATGGTGGGATGCAGGACCATGTAGGGGGGTGCAGGGCCATGTGATGGGGTGCAGGATCATGCAATGGGGTGCCTGACCTTGTGGTGGGGTACAGGACCACACAGGGGATGCAGGATGCTGTGGTTTGGTGCAGGACCATGCAGCAGGGTGTAGGACCAGGCAGTGGGGTGCAGAACCATACAATGGGGTGCAGGACAGGGCGATGGGCTGCACAACTGTACAATGGGACTCAGGACTGCACAGCAGGCTGCAGGATGACGTGGTCTGGTGCAGCGGGCTGCACCACCACATTCTTTGGTGCAGGGCCACGTGGTTGGGAGTGGGACCTTGCAGTCTGCTGCAGGACCATGCGGCAGGATGGAGGGACCATGCAGCGGGTCGCAGGACCGTGTGGTTTGGTGTAGGACCGTAAAACACGCTCAGGACCAGCCATTGCCCAGGAGAGCTCATGAGCTGCTGCCCTGAGAGCACGAGGGCCGATATCTCTCCGGGCATGGAGGAGAGCGAGCCGGCGCTGCCGACCAACACACGGCCGGCCCTGACGGGGACACGGCCCTGGGGAAGGAGACGTTGCCTCCACCAGGATCCCACCCCTTCCCCCTCGCTGTTAATTTTC